CCTCTCTCTCTCTCCTCCTCTCTCTCTCTCTCTCTCTCTCTCTCTCTCTCTCTCTTCTCCCTGCCTCTATCTCTTCGCGGCATCCATTCAGTGAACGTTGTGCCGGACTAAAATTACCCCGGTCCGTCGATCGCTGCGATCTACGCGCGAGCGGAGTGCTCGCTCCAGCGCGTAGCGTTTCGGAGCTGGTCGCGCGGAGAAAACCGCACCTGACGCACGACGGTTGTGATGCATCGAATGTGTGAAACAGATATCGCGTAAGACCGGGCCGATATCGTTTCATAATACGATCGATTGAGAAGTCCTGCTGATACGTGCTTGGTGTCATTTTTAACGAGAGGTGCACGTCGTTCGAACAGACTGATGAATAGAAAATCGCGGAGTTCTCTCAAAGTTCATATCAAAGTGAAAGTGGCCAAAAGGTTAACATTGACGAATCAACGTATAAAATCACGTAGTGCTCATAGTGGATCTCTCGAAACTTCGATGAGACATTTGCTTACTTCGAGGAGAAACTTCATTGGTTCCTCTCTTCTCATATGAGAGACGCGCGAAACTTCATTGGTTCCTCTCTTCTCATATGAGAGACGAAAGGTTACACCTGTATCGACGCACATGGGCATAATTGGACGATACTGACACCGCGTACGGTGCACCAAAAGACACGTGGAATTATCAAGAATTCGTTGTGTTTGGATACTTGACGCGGGTGATATTGCTCGTCGCGAAAACATCGTTGTCCGAGAGAAATGGGAAACCACGCATCCGCCCACCAGCCACTTGAAAGAGCTACCAGCCATGCTGGAAATGGTCTTCGCTTCTCGGTACGTTGTTTCTGTGCTGTTTTCACGTCACTATAATGTTTACGTACAGTTACTGCGCGTGCCATATCGTTACCGGTATCTATGGTATGAGACAAAGCTGTCGACCGCAAATCACACTTGACGGCTATGACTGTACGTATTGTTCAGAGTATTTTGCTCGAATTATGTCAAGCTTTATGAAAGTATCTGCTGATAACATTCCTTTAGATGTTAACATTTCTTTTAATTTATGAAAATAAAGTAAAATTATTTAAAATTAAATATCTATGTAGAAGTATATAAATAGATAACAAAATTATAATTTTTAATTCAGTTAAAATCAAATAACATTTTACACTTTATACAGACTTCAATATTATTTCAAATTTATATAATCTTAGTTTTATCGATATATTTAATGTTAAAGTCACAAAATAATATTTAATCAAATTTTAATGGAGAATAAATTGTCTTATATTTGAAGAATATGATCTAGGAAATATGCTGTCAGAGAATACGTACTCGAAATTTAAAAGATTCTTTAGGAAACAACTTGTATTGCCACGTAATTAAATAAGGAAATTATGTCCATCCATTTGCTTTCAAGGTAAATTACTCTTTTTTAATCGTAGCATAAATGGATGAAAATATATAAATTTTGCAAAATTGTTTTAATTGTGTTTCATTATTTTCTCTATATACATATATGAGGTTTCCTCATATATACAAAAAAATATACAATTATTATACAAAAAAAGTAAAAAAGCAAACAAAATATAGTATATTAAATGAAAAACTTATTATTAATTAATTAATTAGAATAATTGAATATAAAATATTCTTATAGAAAAAATTTGTATATTAGGATCTCTCTACAACAGGATAATAATTATTTGTATAAACTACAAATTTTATTATCTGTAATCAAACAATATCAGCATTATCATCATTATGATAATATAAAATACATGAATTTTATTATAAATCGTAAATTGCACGTCATAGCGTGACCATCAACGTTTTTCCACTCAAGTGTTTTGCGGACAAACTCAAGAAGGGATGGTTCATTCCACGCTTCATAAAATCCGAGATTTGTAACCGTCGGAAATGACGATTTGCCTTTCTTATTACTTCCATTTTTCACCCTCGGTCGCACTCTGTATTACGTTCTTATTTTTCATTTTGTTTTGTCGCGATCTTTTACATAGCTTGACTTCGTTCGTAAAATAAAAATATGTAGTAGAATCTAATATTACTAATTATGCACTTCAGATATTTCTTCAGATTTCTGTAATGAGGAACTTCATTAATCTGGACGTATGACGTCAATCGAGCCGATCGTGGCATGACTAATGTATCATTTGTGTTATGCTGGACGTTTTGTGTCATCGTGGACATTGCAGTAGATTTGCGAGAATTCGATTTCCGTGACAATAGAACGTTCTCATACGCTTAGAAATCTTGACGCAAATCCTTGGTACTTGTCACACCGAGACTATCAATGTGAATTATATAAGCTCTTATTGCATTTGTGAATCCTCATTTCACAGGCGCAATGACGTATCTCATGCGTGACGGCTTCGACAGCGAAAATAACGACGAGGTGCGGTTAGCGTTCGCGTTTCAATGACCTTTGCTCGCAAGCACGTGTCACGTTTGGCTCATTCGCGAATCGGCATTTCATACAGTACGCGTTGAATACTGTAACGTGACATTCAATTTATTGTTGCGATAAGCTACGTTTGCAATATGTTGGAACGTAGAGAACAATGGAAATAAAATTTTGTAGCATTGAAATAATTTATGTACGACTGATTATTAGGCTATTTATTCGTAAAATGAAGATATTTTATTGAAAAATTTAGTAATAAATTTTTTTTGGAATAATAAAAATAATATAATGTTAAATAATATTCAATATGTGTGTGTGTGTTATCATACTGTATGCAATACTTATGTTGATTAATTTTTTAGATCTGTCAGTATATTCTTTCTTGATATATTTTATAGAAAAATATATTTAATTAATAAATAAACTTTTAATGTATTTTTTGAAGTATATAAATTTAAAAAAATGTTTAGATTTTTGACGTTTTTAATTACTTTACAAAATAAATAATCGTTTTGACATGTTTAATAAACGTAAAATATGTCGAACGATTTGCTTTGTTACATGTATATTGCTCGCATATTATTATGAAAAGTAATAAAATCGGTTTTTAAAGTTTTTATTATTTCTAGAATAATTTAAAATTGGTGAAAAATTTAATATTATTGTATCTTACTGTATAAATATAATATTAATTGTTGGTGAAACATAAATATCATTTATAAAGTTGAGAGGAAAATTACAACCTTGTTGTCTCGATATAACAGCGTTGACAGATAATACAATGCATAAAGTAAAAAAATTTTTGCTTGCTTTCGTATATTGTATAAATATAAAGAAAGAAAGTGTGATTTATAAATGTTAGCAAAACTTTTTCTACACGAAAGCTACGTTGTGGATTTATTTTATAAAAGTAAGCGGTATTACCGTGGAACAAGCAAACAAGCTCTTGATTTTCGAGGTGAACTTGCCGAGACATTCATTTTCTCCAGCAAAAAAGCTTTTACCTTGCTGCTTGATATTTAATCCCGCTGGAAGGCAAGTGGAATAGTTTAAAGCCGGGAAACGGTCATAGAAATAGCTGGATGTCACGCTGTCACCTCCTTCGACTTTGCAGTTTAATTACATGATGTTCGTTACACGCCCTAATTAGTGGAATTGCTTGATTACGTCGAGACGGTGAAAATTTCGTTTCTTACTAAATGAACGTACGATATTTGATTTAACGTCGAGACGTCGAACGATTAATCCTCTATTTTCGTTCTTCTACATTTATTTAATATCTTGACGTACAAAGAATTTAGTATTTGAAATAAACTGATAGACTCAAATAAGTCATGATGTAGATCGGATATTTACTTTTTCACATATAAGCAGTAAAGTGATAATAACAATTTTGGATTAAAAGTATCGTATTAAAAATGTTTATATAAATATGAACACTTTTTGATAGTTGAACCATATACGAAAAAAATTATTTGACTTGATTGTAAAATGAACAAGATTGTATTTAACGAAAGATCAGAAATCTCAAGGTATACATAGTACCAAAACCAATACTTTAGCTTAATTTATTTCAAGGGAGGAGACAGTTATGCAAATTACAGAGATGCCTGGCCAGTCGATCGGCTGACCGGCGTATCGTGATTACATTCGAATAGCGTTGCACACGGTCAACACGCATAAATCTAATCGCACGCATGAATCCACACACTCGCAAGCGTACACGCCCGCGGTCACGCACACTCACGACCCAATCGAATCGAGGGGATCGAACTCAAGGATAACTGGTGCTGCACACAGCGTTTGCTTCGTGGCGATCCAGAAGTTGCTGAGGCATTCAAAATACTGGCTACTTATGCGCGAGAACAAGTCTTTCTTTTACGATTAAATACTATAAATTAGAAAGAAACCAATCTATTTCTAAAGAATTTATATCTCAGGAGAAAAATTCAATGATTTTATTTATTACTTAATCCTTATTATAATTCTGTTTATTCACATTTAATATAGATATAAAAGTTTCTTCTTAGCTTTATGTTAGACACGGTAATTTATTTTATTTTAGAATTGTATTATATTTGTAGACACTATAAGTTAACAGTCTTTAAGCTTGTATTTTTTAACTTTTAAGTTTCGTCTTAAGCACGAACTTATATTCGCTCTCTTTGTCAGACACAATCTATGTGTGACGAAGAGAGCGAATATAAGTCCGTGCTTAAGACAATCTTAAATATAAGAACGGACTATGAATACCGACCTATAAGTTAACAGTCTTTAAGCTTGTATTTTTTAACTTTTAATTTTTATTTTTATTTCTTTATCCAAGTTAAAAAAAGTATGTAACAAAATATTTTTTTTTAATTCTCTCAATCTTCTCATTTTAATCAATTTACATTTAATAGTAGATAACATTTAATTCAAAGGACTGATTAAAATGCGACCGATCGCGCAAATTTAAAAACGCATGCTGCATGCCTGTATTTAGCATTTCTATGTCGTACACGACATGTCGCGCTGCTATACGTGAAAGCCTACTCGCTAGACGCAGTAGAATGCAATGCTGTACTTTTCTGCGTGTGTGTATATCCGCCTCCGATGTTGCGTGCGTAGACACCTGCAGCGGTGAAAGGACTCGATGTAGATGCGAGATGCGTGAACTTCGGACGATTCCGAAGCCTGGTATTCCGCGCGTAAATTATTTTTCTATATTTTTGTTTCATTCATCGAACGCTCATGACGGCGTCATTCTTTCACGCGGCTGCATTGTCCAGGTGTCTTTATGGAACGTGAATCTCGCACTTTCCTCTTACGTACCATCTTTTGTATAAGTTCCTGCGTGCTTCCACTTTCTTGACGTTATTTAATGTGAGCTATAGCTCTCTTGTGCGAGTACTTTGTAATCCTGACTGCAGCTATTCATCACCTTGAACAATGCCTCGCTCATAATCGGACTATCTTCGGTCGCACGTAAACTTCAAATGTTTCTCGGCTTGGTTCTATCTACTATCTCTTCCTAATAATGTTACTAGATATCACATGCCTCGTTTACATGTCTTGTTTTATTTTTTAAACCAACAGATTTTTCTAATCACGTATTTAGAGATCATAATAATAAATGATTTTTTGTGGATTTTTTATCCACTATTTTATTATATTAAAAAGAAAATAAAAATTTTAAGGATAAAAATTGTTTTATACAGAATAAAATTTACGAGATATTTAACTCTATTACCTTATTATTTGCATACTGATGAAAACAATACTTTTATAAATCACATCTCTGATCTGGAAATTTTACTGAAGCACACAAAATAAAAGCTCGAAAAAATTCGAGAATTAATCTTAGTCATAAAATATTAAAATTGCCATTATCCTAAATACAATACGGCAATATTATGCAATGGAAAGT